CCCCCCCCCCCCCCCCCCCCCGCCGCCGCTGGCCTGCAGCGCTTCCTTCACTTCTCCTCTGATTCCCGCTGCATACAGATGGGGGAGAGCAGCAGGAATCCAGAGAAGAAGCCCCAGAGGACACAGCCGATCATGATCTACCAGTGTTTGCTTTGTGATCGACCTAATGGGCACCACTGTTCTAAAGCATAGACAAGGCCAGAGGTAGGCAAACTCGGGTGGCACTAGCGACATCTCGTTGAAATCTACAACAGACGTGATGTCACGAGTTGGAGATCTCGATGAGTTGGCCACCTCGATAGAACACCGGCCCTCCAGCTGCTGTGAAGCTAAAAATCCCATGATGCATTGCAATATTCTCACAGCTACAGTCATGACTCACAGAGATAGATGCATGATGTGATTTGTAGTTTCACCACAGCTGGAGGGCCAGAGTTTGCCCACCTTTGGTCAAGGCACTGTGTTGCAGTGGTGTGCATTGGAAAAAAAGCAGGACCTGCTGCATTTCTACACAGCAGGGTGTTGTGATGCACTACAGCACATCACACACACTGCAGTGCATAAAGACAAATGAAATGTCATTCTGTGACATTTAAACTTTTTTTTTTTTTAATGGTAGGCAATATCATGCGTTCTAAAAATGCATCATACAGCCCATTCACAGAAAAACCAGAGGCCTTAAGCTTCCTCTGACATCGCCTGTCACTTTCAAATCAATGGGCTGTCCTGCACACAACATACCCGGCATAGGAGCAAATGCACCTTTTCCACGTGGATGACGTCACTGCGTCTCAATGCTGCCTCCTGAGCATTTGGAATAAAGCAAGAATGCACTCTTGCAATGGAATTGGTCACATTCTTGTGTGGATCGAGTGCCCAGCTACTCCAGGAGGCAGCAGTATGGCACAGTGATACCAACTGCACCATGGGAAGCTGGGACCGAGGTGAGTATTGTTTTAGCTTTTATAAGATACATCTTTGGGGGAGGGGGAGCGGGGGGGGGGGGGTAGAGATGTGCATTTGGATTTGGACAAACTTGCTGAATAAAAAAATTCAATTGATTTGGTGGTTTGTCTGAATCCGAAATAACTAATAATAACTAATTGCTGCGTCCAAGATGGCGGCGACGATATGTGACCCGACGCCAGTGTAATGCGCCATCATGCGCCCCATCAAGATGGCGTTGTGCATGTGCAGAATGCGCTGGTGGCCAATATGGCTGCTGTGCCTTTTGTTTTTTAACTGTGCGCTTTCGGGTTTGAGGGTTTGTTGCCTCCAAATCTGAAACAGCATAATTTTTTGTTTCATCAAACAAATGAAAAAAGGTGTTTAATTTGTTTCGTCCAAGGGGGGTGTCTGATCACTCGAGTATTTGTATAGTACTTGTGTAGTACTATGTGTCCCCAGTAATGAATGAACAGGATGTGATTTACATCACTTCCTGTTAATTCATGATTTTATGAATGGGGAGTAGCACTCACAACAGAGGCTTTTCCCCATTCACAAACTCCTTGATAGTAAATCCCCCCCTCCCAAAGCTCCCCCTACAGTAAAAAAAAAAAATGTTTTATTTCAGATGAAAGGAACGCAAACTAAAAACGTTTTCATTCGTTTCATCAAACAAAAACACATTTTTATGCTATTTTGGATTCAGCAATTGGCGTGTTCTGGAGGCAGGGCGCATGACGTCATGTAACATCGCACATGTTGGGCGCCGCCATCTCGGTGTATAACTAGGTATACACCAAGATGGGGGCGCCTATATCGGCGTGTGACGTCACCTGACGCCGTGCATGCATGGCGTCAGGTGACGTCATGCTCCCCGCCTCCAAGATGGTGGCACATATTCGCAGAACGCTCTGGTGGCCAACATGGCCGCCGCGCATTCTCAAACAAATTATTATGTGCCTGAATACATTTTTCGTATATTCGGGGAAATAGTAATTAATTCATGTAACACGTAGTCTGGGTTCTGTGTTCTGTTTTATATTTTTACTTTCCTAGTTACACTTACTTGAAAAAAGGGGTCGGCATGACAACCTGACACTTTACTTTAGTTTGACATTTATTGTTTATCACTTGTTTGCCTTCTGTTGTTTTATGTAATAAGAATACTTATATTGTGCTTACAAGTTTAACAGCTTTAAATAAAAGTTTTATTTTTATCATACTTTTTATTATGTTTCTTTGGGGCTTAACAAAATTGGAGACTTTAAATGGTGCGGATATTGGAGAAATGGGTGTGGCCACTGAAGGAAGTGGCCACTAAGGGGCACTGTAAAGCTTTCTCGCACAGGGCCTAAGGCCGGCCCTGTATGCACGCAGCCTGGCAGTAATAATAAAAGTACAGTATGTGGTGGAGGTGCGTAACCTTACCAACATTTTGGCGCAAATCTCAGTAATTTTCCACTTCGATTGTTCAAAGTTTTCGCTGTCTCCTCTCCTTTCTGCAACTTGCCGGCCATCCATACACATCCCCCAACCCTCTCCTTGCTGCAGTACCGATGGTCACTGTGGTCCCCTCACTACATAACTTACACCACTCTAGTGATGGTGTATATTTTACAACTGTGTTCAAATTGGAACATTAGCACTAGTGCTTCATTATTTTAGTTGCGTAGCACTTTTACATGCGATTTTGCACATCTTATAGCATTGTGCCAATATTTACACCACAAAACTGGCGTATTTCCCTTTGTTGATTTCCCCTTTGTTCCCATTACGCACCTCCACTAAAGCACCTGCGCTGCAACGCACCACAACATAAAAAAATGTGTTAAGGTGCCCATACACCTGTCGATTATCGTTCGGAAATCATTCACGAATAGTCGTGCAAACAATAATCCATCAGTTGATGGGAACCCAACAATGTTTTTACTGCGCTCCTGGCCACATTTCCTCCATTGGTCATGCTGGTAAACTTTTTTCAAATCGTAGGAAAAATCAAAGGATTAGTAGCGTTTTTGTAAGGAAAAAAAATCGCAACATGAACACTGCTCATGCGCAAACGAAAATCTGTTCTGTCAATCGATAACATTCGGTGAGTTGGTAGTGCAAACGACGTTGGTCTGTGCTTGATGGGGTATTTGAGCGGAAAACGAACGAGGGTTCGATGATGGCACGAAAATAAATAAATAAAATCGAATGATAATTGCAGAGTGTATGGCCAGCTTTGGGGTACATTGCAGCCCATTCATTTTGAATTATCTGTCTAACAACGCACTCCATGACATGCCTCAATGCATGAAAACGTGTCCCGTTGTAGTGTGAACCGGCCCTTCGAGTGTACCTCCAATGTTAGCTTCAGCTCATCAAATTAAACCCTAGGGCTCCATTCACACGGGGACTTCTGGGTTTCCTGCCGCAAGAACCTACGTATTCGTGTGGCAGGAATCCCAGATGTTCCTGTTCAGATGCGGCCCCTGTACCCATTGAAGCAAATAAGAGGGTGACAGTGGCCACATCTAGACATGTGCGATTCGTTTAGTTCCGAATCGAAATTCGGACGAATTTTCGAAAATTCGGACATTCGGATGTATCCGAATTCCGAATTACAGACATAACGAATGCAAACTAATCCGAATTTCCATTTCCGAAATTCGTAGTTCGAACGTTCGTTTCGTTTCTTATTCGTTTCGTGCGTTGGAGCAAAGTGACATTAGAGAAGGAGAAAAACATTTTTTCCCCCTCAAATGTCACTTTGCTGCAAACGAACGAACGAAAACAAAACGAAAACGAAACGAACGTTCGAACTACCGCTAACGAATTTCGGAAATGGAAATTCGGATTAGTTTGCATTCGTTATGTCTGTAATTCGGAATCATCTCTTAATACATTTTATTAACAATGCTGCTCAACAAAAATGTGTTGTCATACCTTTTAACCGCTTTTTCAGTGCAGGAAAAATGAAATGAACAAGAAAAAAAATTGACCGATTTCAATTCTCTCTTTTTTCTTTAGAGTTCTGTTTTTTTAATTCAATATGAATAAACCCTCTAAAAGATAATTAGAAATTGCTGTACAAGATGTATAAAATTAGCACTGTAAGTGTACCAGCAATACCCACATTTGGCCACTAGATGTCGTTACGCTGTCATCTAGCCAGGCTTGGCTGCCTTTCAGTGACAACGATTCCATTTCTACACCCATCATAATGGCCCTCCAGTTAATCACATGCACTGTCCTTTTTCTCATCTGGATTTCTTTTAAACCAGCCTGAAATATATGTATTATGAAAAAAATTATAATATATATAAATAATTTTTTACATAATCTATATATTATAGGCTGCTTTAAAAGAAATCCAGATGAGATGCCATCTAACTTATGATCGATGCCTTCTATAGATCATTCATCCCCATTAGCATCATACTGCATCAAAGCAAGCCTGGCATTAGCTATGGTAAATGATGCCTTAGTGATTGTCATAGTCTGGCCATCATTGGCACTGAAGGATGCCAGTCCTAACAATGCAGTGCAGATCTGCTTGGCATCGGAGGGGTTACTACCCCAGCAGATGAAACCCAACCCAGCAGCTAGAATGGCATAGATCGTGCAGCCCATTCCTCCTCCAGCAGCATCCCCTGTTCAGCTCTGATCACCGCCTCCTCCTTTCCTGCCAGGCTCAGGGAGGGGGCCACATAACACAAACACACTCATACATTCACACACACTGGCCGCAATCCGTGCTCCATTCCAGCTTGCATGTGGAGCCCTCATCATCATCACCATCTACCATCCTCCTCCTCTTCCTCCTCCTCCCAGCTCCCAGGATCTGCACTGACCGCATCAGCCAACATGATCCCCCTGCAGCTAGGACAGCTATGAGCCCCCCAGTCTCAGCCCGGGCTACATGTAGGACCCCTTTCAGCAGGTAAAGCACTGTTGCTGATCACTGGGCCCCCTTTGTGCTCTCACAGAGCCCATCATGCTGTCAATCATCTTCTTTGCTTATTCATTTGACTTGTTTATAAATATTTACATCCTCCTTGGCTTTCTTTGTCCCTAGCACTTGGCACACTTTGTACAATGAAGCACTGTTTGGTCACTGGACACTGTGTTGATTCCTTGGTATGCTGTCAGATTTTTTCTCTCCATGTAATTAGGTGATGTGTGGATAGACAGCTACACAGAATTCGGTGATAGCTTTAATCAGGCTTTATTTTAGATTCTGTTGGTATTTGCATGATTCACACATTTTGCAGTAGGGATTGCAGTCTAGTTGTTTTCTATGTAAGGCTGGTGAACAGAACTTTGCTATCGTTCTCACCATCAACTCCTGGTTAGCCTAATAATATAGATATATATTGTCAATTCACAAAGCATTAACACAAAGATAAGAGTCTTCATTGTAGCCATGTGATTGTTATTTTCAAATCTCATTGGACTGAAAATAACTGTCACTTTGTTTTTATAAATACGTATTCTTATCCTGGTGTTGTAGCTTTGTGAATTGAACCTATGGTATGGTTCATTTAGGATTGTTCATTAGTGATGTGTTGGTCTTGGGGCAAACGCAAGCCTATGCAAAACTGTCAGTGACACCTTCCCTCCAGGCTCAGTCATTTGCCTTTCCCTGCCCTACAGCCACACATCACCAAGGAATGCCCAGGCCACAACTGATTAGGCAGCGAGAGGGGTGTGCTATTGACAGTTTTGTGCAGACGAGTAGAAGACTCTTTATTTTAGCCACGTGACACACATCTCATTGGACGTAGCAGAAAATACCTGTCACTGTGTTTTAAATTAAGTATCCTTATACTGGTGTTGTAGCATTGTGAATGGAGCCTAGGGTATGATTAATTTAGGATTGCTCATTAGTGATGTGGGCTTGGTGTGAACCTAGTTGCCAGAGTTTGTCCAAGCCATGCAAAACTGTCAGTGACAGCCCCCCTACCCACCCATTCAGTTGCAAACAGGGCATTCCCAGCTATACATACCAAAGGGGATGGGAATGCCCACGTCCGCAACTGATTGGGCCAGGAAGGGGGTATGTCACTGACAGTTTTAGGTGAACTGGGTTTGCACCTAGCCCATGCACATCGCTACTGCTCATGGGACCTTCACACAGATCTTTGACAATTTTTAATCCTAATCCTCCCCCTTCCCTTTTATACATTTGGAATATTTTTGGATAGCAAATACCTTCTCAGACAAGGTGAGGACTTATTCCTCACCTTGGTCCACCCTCTAACCCCAGCCTCCTGGGTACACGTCACACATCCCAGAAGGTCATAGGACCAGTGTGTGTCCTTTAAACTGGTGCTTGTGCAGAAGGGGAGGTCAGCAGCTACTTATAGTACTTGTAGTAGCTGACATACTTTTGTAAAGCTTTCCTTTAAAATTAATCTAAAGGCAAAACGAAAATGCGTTTTTTCCCCCCATGGGTGGAGTAGTGGAGGATTAAGGCTGAGTTCACGCAGGTTGCAAAGGGGCGGAAGAATTGGCGGTTGATCCACATTTTTACCACCTACCTACACATTAACATGGGGGCCACAGGGGTACATACACATTGCTGCGCCTGTAACGCTTCGCTATTTTAACTTGGCATGTCACGTTTGGCAGGCAGTACCTCTTGCCATATGTGTCCAATGAAGTCACGCAACTGCGTGCCAAATGTTGCAGCTGTGGCGCTGTATTTCAGTATCCCCCTTGGGATATAAAAAACCCCCCAGATATTTATGAAGTGGCAATATTGCCTTCTGAATATCTGCAAACCACCACTCAGATCACTGTTCAGAGGGGCAGTAAAGTCTACCACCCATGTGAAAGAGGTCTAAAACAGATGTCAGTTTCTTTTTGTCCCCATCTGTGTCTCAATAGAGAGATTTCTCCTCACTTCCTGTCCTGTAGACTCAACAGGAAGTGAGAGGATATCTTTCCAAAGTGTGGGAGATCACCTCATTTAGTTGACAGTTCTCATGGGAGTAAGTGTTCCCGCTGGATGATTTCCCCGCTGTTCCTGTTCTGGTGGCAACTCAAATTTTTGGATTTAATGTCACTTTCATTCTCTTCATACTGGATCAGGACAATTCGAGTGAATCTCCCTAACTGGCAAACCAACAGCCATAAAAACCTGACAGAGGTTCTAACCCCTCAACACTTTATTCAAATGTTAAATCTTAAACTAGCCATACGCAAATATATTTCTTACATTCAGCCTGTGCATCGCTGTTCATGCAGGTCATGCATAGGGTAGCCCATTCATTTCAATGGGTTGCGCCATGTGCGACAAATGCAGCTTAGATGGACCTTATGATGTTTAACTGCATATTGTTGGCTAATCTGTGGGCACGTTTGGGGTGGGTGCCATTAACAATGAATGGCACTGCAATTGTTTTTCCATGCGTTTTGTGAATGTTCGCAAAAACACAGGTGCGTTCACAAGCTACAAGTGTGGACGGGGGCCGACAGTATTTTATTATACTGCTAGTGGGAGCTTTTGCTGTCTTGTGTGAAGGAAGTCTGATCTACTAACGAGTCATAAATAAAACAGCCGCATGCCCTGGGAGGCCTTTCAGTAGAGGAAATAAAAGCCAGGACATGCCATAAGTGAAAGGTAAACACTAGTCACAAAATATCTTGCACGCTTTGATACATCAGTTTCATCAAATGATGAGTTCTATAGGAATGTACGGGCATTATAGCACTCTCGCCCAATGTGGCCATAGTTCAGGGGTGGCCAACTCTGGCCCTCCAGCTGTTGTGGAACTACCAGTCCCATGAGGCATTGCAAGACTGACCGTTACTAGGGATGCACCGATACCGATAATTTCCCCAATACCAGAACTTCCGGTCAGACGAATATTTCCTATGACTGGCAGTGCCGTAGGGGAACATGGAGCTTCCCGGGCAATCATCATGAAGCCGGCTTCCCAGTCAATCAGGAAGCTGGTAGGCTGGTCATTACTTGCCGCCCGGCTTCGCGATTGCCCGGGAAGCTGGCTCCATGCTGATTGGGTGGGAAGCCGGTTTCCCGGCCAATCAGCAACGAGCCGGCCAAACATGGAGACAGCTTCCCATAAAAATTAGGAAGTAGGAGCAGCGTGTCATTACCTGCTGTCTGGCTCCCTGATTGCCTGGGAAGCTGGCTTCTTTTCAGAGGAAGTACCGGTATCAGTATAGTGGTACCTAGGTTCACAAACTTAATTAGTTCCATGATTCTGGTCGCAGACCGAATCAAATTTCCCCATAAGGTTCAATGTAATACATAATATTGTACAGTACTGTATGTGCTAAAAAGCACACAAAAAAGCTTCACCGCAAGTGTGCACAGGTCTGTCTGCGACTGCGATCTCGACTAGAGAAAGCCACGACCACGTGTCAGAGCGGGGAAGATGTCCGCAGTCTTGTTTGTCACCCGAGTTCGCGAACGGAAGCAAAATGTTGACCAACTTTCTGTTCGCAAACCGAATTGTTCACGAAATGACGCGCTTGTGAACCGAGCTATTACTGTACTTGGTATTTTCACTCAACCTCATCGTTCGAGCTGACATGTGACAATGAAACTGTCACACGTCGGCTGAATAGATCAGGAAGTGAGCGAACACATACCGTCGCTCACTCACTTCTCGATCTTGTCCCTGCAGAGAGCCGTGACTGTCCCTCGCGGCTCCCCGCAGGGATTCCCCCCTCCCCGCTCCCATCCTCCAGCGCTGACTGGAGGAATGAATGGGGAGGGGGCGGGTACAGCTGGCTCTGTCTCTAGATAGGCAGAACCAGCTGTCAATCACGCAGCTGAGTGGATCTCGACAGTAATGTAGCTCGCGGTATACTGAGCTTTGGGTCACGGGAGGACGCTAGTTTATGTCCTCCTGTGACCCTGAGGAGAACTATGGGGAAAAACACTTACCCCATAGTTCTGCTTTAAGGCAAAGTCCTCCATCTGTAAAAAAAAATACATGTACACTTCTTCATAAGAGAAAGAATGTGCATAGATTTTTTTTTTTCTTTTTTGCATTGGAGCCAGTAAATCATTGCAACTGCGATCAGTGGATCATGGAGGCAGTGCTCTGGCTCCTGCAGAATGACTGGGCTACAAGGGCGATAACCACATTGTGCTTATAGCCAATTGAGAACTACAAGCGCCTTTGCCACGGTGGCTGATGGGACTTGAAGTTACTCTGAATGGATGATGCAGCTGTGTGGGTGGAACCATGGGCAGCCATTGTGGTTACTATTATTATACAGGATTTTTATAGCGCCAACAGTTTGCGCAGCGCTTTACAATGTAAGGAAGACATTACAATTCAAGACAAGATAGTAAGGAGGGCCCTGCCTGTGAGGGCCTACAAACTAAAAGGGAGGGGCAAGTGATACATGAGGAGGTAGCTGTGAGGGGATTTATTGTTTGAGAATGTGATGATTCAGTGGTTAGGTTGAGGTGAGATAGGCTTCCCTGAAGAGATGAGTCTTAAGGGATTGCCTAAAGGCAGTCAGAGTGGGAGATAGACAGACGGGTTGGGGTAAAGAGTACCAGAGGATGGGAGAGACTCTAGAGAAGTCCCGAAGGCGAGCATGAGAGGAGTTGACGACGGAGCTGGAAAGCAGGAGGTCTTGGGAGGAGCGGAGGGGGCGGTTAGGGTGATACTTTGAGACCAGGTTTGAGATATAGCCGGGAGCAGAGTTGTGGATGGCTTTGTAAGTGGTTATTATAGTTTGAATTTTATCCCCAGCTGCGGAGATCAGTGAACCTCCGTTCACCAAACCCCTCCTCATACTATGGGACCGGGAGCGATGCAGATTACATCACTTCCATCACATAGATGTCATTGCTGGGCTGAAGCCCAGCAATAAGCTATTGATGTGCGATCTGCACTTCAATAGTTTATTTAAAGTGTAAAAGGTGATACTAGTGGTCTTTTGGAACCCCGT